TTTTATTAATTTTTATAGTATTTATCAGCGTATTAACGCGGATCCTATTCTAGTACTTTATAAAAAGAAAAACTAAAACAATAAGTCAAGCTCGAGTGAATAGACATGTTACATTTTCCGAAAACCATCCAGAACTGCACGTGAAACAGTTACGTTTGCTCTTTACTTGTGTCTTAAAGCATGCTATCCAAGAAAAGAACCTTAAGTAAATTGAGAACCCAGCAAATTTAAATCAATAACTGAATTCCATACAAAATCCTTAACCTTTGGCATAGAAGTCGAGCATGAAAGCTGGCATAGATGATACAACATATTTTCCTACAGCTGCAAATGTAAGAACTCGAGCAATATGTTTCGCGTAAGGTCACTACAAAAGCTTGACATATTGATATGTGAAAGAAAAAAAATGCTCAAATAATTTAGTAATACTTTGATCAGTAACATACGTAACCCTTTTCCTTCACTTCATACCTCCACAACACACGATGCAATATGGCGCCTTCGAGCTCGTTTCTCGGACAGTGATGAGTATGGACAACTGCCTGCCAAAGTAATAAATGCACTCTTTCCCTCCTACATTCCCTCTAGACAGACACACGGACTCAAGGCTCAAGCACATATTCAAGTATATACAAGGGCGTGAGCAAACATGCATTTATGAGATGGGATTCAATTGACTGTATTGAAGAAACAAAAAGACACCGCTGAAAATAAAAATGAAAAGTGGTCAGTTGACTTGAAACTCTGTTCGGAAGAATTTTATATAAAATTAATAATATTGATATGTAATATAGTTTCAACATAAAGATTGACTAAATATCATATTAGATGAAATAAATATGAAATCTTTTATATAGTAGAAAAATACTCCATATTTTAATTATATTTGCTTAGAATTAAAATTTGTCTGAAAGTTTTTGCAGTAAATATATTGTTGTTATAATGAGTAAAGTGACGAAAAAATAATGGGAGAAAAAACAGTTACGTTTATCAAAATTTTAAAAATTAATTAATTTTTTTTTTTTGTGAAATACTAGCTTTTACCTTTCTGTTTTTTTACGGATGTTAAAAAAAAATGAGAATTATGCCATGTGATATAAGGATAGAGTTGCAGTTAATTGTTATTTGACTTGTGATTTATTATAAAAAGATGTGTATGCTCACAACCATGTTCATACATAATATTCGGTTGAAGAAGAGCCAATCAAATTCTAACAAAATGGGACAAGCTACCAAATATTGTTTTCGAAATTGTCGATCTTCTAAATTGACCCCACAAATAAACTCACACTTTCAGTCTTTCAATAGGTGATCTAAATATAATGTCATTGTAAATACCATTCAACCAGTCATTAAATCTCCCAGGGGGTTCTCTAGAAGGGACTGAAGCGTAAGGATATAGTGAAAATCCTCCTCCTTCTGGCTATGTTCGCCATTTTTTTCACGCAAAACCTGCTTCCGCCCTTTCCATGTATAACAACACCAGACCTTGCAAAAGCATTATATTAAAAAGATATCCAACACCAGCATACACTACATATCCATGAAAAGACTAGAACATTAGAAAATCTAGTAAGAAACTCACTAGAATATGTACGCTTCCTCATTTGGAAACAATACTCCCTGATTTCCAAAAGATGGAGGAGTATGGTCCCATACTCTGACTGAAAGCTAGGTGTGTTTTTCAAAGTATCATGTACATGTGTAAAGGAAATAGTACACCAGCGACATTAGTATATTACATAAACACGTAAAAAGATGAAGTCTAAAGAAAATGCACCATCAAAATGTAAGCATTAAGATAAATTTTTGTACGAAAATAACTAACATGCAGAACACACATGCGCATGGGCATATTAATAAGATGATCACCTAATGTATCCCAGTTCCATAAAATCATTTTTCAATCAATGTTCACATTCTTCTAAGATTGCCTCGCTAAAGAAACATACATCAATTTTCGAGTTCCAGTAATTATAACAAACATTCAACATGACGATGTGAAGCATCTTTGCAAGCGCAATGAAATTTGAAGGGAAAGTTACATAACCATATCACTTTATTTCTAATTAAACAAACAAAATATGACTATATTCTCACCAGAAAACTTGGTACTCTCTGAATAACAACTCGAAGCGTCTTTGCCAAAGGTAGCTTGGGCATCCGTCGCTTAATACCTGACTGCTGCAAGGACAAGTAATTTCAAAGCTGAATTAATTGTGAGGTGCAAGATTAACTTCAAAGCTTGATGCAGTCTATATTAGCATCAAAGTATCTGATGGAAAAATTAATACCTAGCATTAGAAATCTCGTAGCTGATTCTCTATTTAGACACCTAGTACACTCATCTGATATTAGCAGCGGAATCGTGTTAGTTTTCTGACAACATTCCTACAGAGGAAACAAAAGGGTAAATGTTACCACTTTCAAGAAAATACTGATTAGCAAACCTTGTTGGAATATGTACTCTATCGGACAGCTTTAAGTATCAGAACAAACCTTGTTGGAAGTATAACCCCATACAAGCTGCCAGGCCTTTTTAATCTTGTTATTGCTGAGTATTTTGCAAGACCACTTTAAACGTTTATTCATTATCTCTCATATTTTGCAATGATAAATGATCTTTTATACCAAAAAAAACTCATATGATATCAGATTTCATATGATATAAAATAGCAGAATATTTTTATTTATTGCCCATGAATATACCTTTCTCAGTAGTGTTGAAACCTATTTCTTATGCATGAAAATTTTTTCACAGGAACTTAAAAGAAGTATAATACAATTAGATCAGTGATGGATTCAGTACATATACCTAACCATTTCTCTAAGTCGATCATCCAAGGACATAACACATCCGCAGTTCATTCAGGGTATTTAACACTTTCTGCTTCAATTTTTTTAGCTTGTTTGAATCAATGAAGATACACTCTTCCACCTGCCCAATTGGCAAAAATGACCAATAATTCTTTCCAATGGTTTTAATTATATTGTCCAAAAAACCAAATGGGACAGGGAAAAGTACACAACGGAAGTGGATTTAATACAATAAATAGAGATATACAAAGAAGAAACAATGTTGTGACC